AAAGGCCACCTAAGGACGGCTGTGACAAGCCCGCCTTGCCCTAGTCCTACGAGGAACTGCGGACGAAACCCCGAAGCTTCCCTAAGAACCTTGGCACACGAGTAAGCAAGTCGACCCTGATCCCAAACGAGAACCCAAACAAGATTGACTTATCTAGGAAACCCTCTAAGGAAACGAGGTGGTCGAGGAGGTGCGGGCACGCCTTAGGGTGCCGGGCGCGCATATCTGCCGCGAGCTGCTCATAATAATAGTCCGTTGGAGGCTCCTCGATCATCTTATCGATGTCCCAGCTCTCCACGATATGATAGCTCGGGCAGCGCGCCGTGTCGACCGCGTCTGCTGGGCGCACAGCATCACTTGCGCCTCTTTCAGCCGTGGCCGATCCCTCACGCCAGCCAGCCCAGCGTGGCCCTTTGCGCGTCCTAAAGACCGCGAGGCGTTCGGTGACGGGAACCTCATCGCTGCACGCAACGCTTTCCGCCACACGCAAATCCCTCGTGTCCCAAAGACGCCACGCCTCACCTGCGCGCTGAAGCAAGCACGTTTCGTAAGGCGCCTTCTCGACCGCCACGGTCCCAAGGTCCTTCTGCGCAGGGCGCCTACCCCGCACAGACGCGTAACCACCTGGCGCCTCCCACCAGCTGTCGACGCTTGGAAGGTGGTCCAAGCAAGTAAGCACTCCAGGCTCCTCAACAGGGCGCCCAACCGGGCCGCTCCCGCCCCACACCGAAGCGAGAACAGTCACCGCTGCAAGGACCGATAGCACACCGATCCTGGCGCCGGTATGCAGCCGCCCAAAGGACCGCGCACACGAGGAACAACCTTGGAAGCTTCTTGCCGCGGCCCTGGACGCGGACCCGCAAGCAAAGCACGGGTCATGGTCAACCGAAGCAACGGCGACCCCACAATCCGCACATGCCTGCGGAGACGGCTCTGACTCGAACACCGTCTCAATCGCGCCACAACCACAAGCCGCAGTGCTGACGAGGCCGGAACCCACTTCCGCAACAACCTCGCCTGGCTGGAGAGAGTGATCACACTCTTGGGCTGCAAGCAAAACAAACCCTTTACCCTCTCCTGTGGGCCAGAGACCTGGCACAGCCTCAACCCCACACTCAACCGGAAGCACAACCTCGGACAGGGATCCGTCTGCGGAGACTCCTGACTCCCGCACGACTGGCACCAGCACCCCATCACCTGGCGAGAGCTCGAGCGGCTTTTCCCCGTCATAGCGGAGAAGCTCACGACTTCCGCCCCCAGGCTCGATGCATGACGCGTCGTCCAGGCTTGACAACCGCGCTTCAAAGGCATAGGCCCTGTCCTTCCGAGTCCTACTGTGATCCTCACATCTGGGCATCCTGATTCCCAGCGTGTCGAGGACATGAAAGTCGGGACCCGGCCTGAATCCCAAGCCCATCCTTCCGGCGCAGTCCAGCGCTCTGCCGCCAAGGATAAGTCCGTGCCAATCGGACGTGCCTCTGGCTGCGATTTTACACCGCACAAAAATCTCGGTGTTGGGGCGACAATCGTCCGCCGTCTTGCCTTCCAGCAGCGTGACGCGCAAGACTGCTGCCCCTTTCAAAGGAACTGGGGCCCCCGATGCGATTCCATGCACATATTCGGGGTGGACCCACTTCTCAAGTCTCACGACCGGAAAGCCAGGATCCTCAGTGCCGATCCCAAGCTCTGCAGCCCGGTTCATCATGCCTACCACGAGTTCCTCAGTCACGTGGTTTGCGCCGGCGCAACCGTCAAGCATGCACTCGACTTTGCGGTCGAGGACCTGGACCACCGTTCTGTACTGGTAGCCTCCTGGCTCGTTGTCCGCCAGGTTCCACCAGTCCTTCGGTAGATCGTCCAAGGTGGCGAACTTGTCCCGCCCGCCCTTGCTTAACGGAAGCGCGTGCTGCTGCACCGCGGCGTGTCCTGCGGCTCCTAGGACGCCTGCCTGGACGCCTGAGCTGCCTATCTGGACACTGAACGCGGCGAAGGGGTTAGACATGGAAGCACCGGAGGGCGGGGCCCAGTTGGCAGGCAAGGCCGGCGTCCCTCCTGAGGTCGTCAGGTTGTGGACCATGTCGCAGCTGGCTCCTTTCTTGCACGACCCATTCTTGGAGAAAAAGGGGCAAACAGTGCCTGGTGGCTTTGCCGCGCCTTTGGCCGCAGCCTTAGGCTTTGCGTTGGCTTTTGCTTTGCCACCTCCCTTCCCTTTGCCTTTACCTTTCGCAGTGGCAAAGGTTTGGTCACCCTTCTTGGCCGCGAGAGCTTTTCTGCGAAGCTCCTTGTCGTGGCTGTACGGGCAGGCATCCCCTTTCGGGCAATTCCCATGATCGCGAAAGTGGAAGCAGATCTTCTTGTCCGCTCCTTTGCCAGCTCCCTTCGACGTAGCAGCATACGTCTGGTCCGCGCCAGCTTTGGCCGCGGCAGCTGCTCCTTTCGCAGCAGCCTTCGCAGCGGCCTTGAGACTCTTAATCTCCTTCTGAGCCTCAGCCAGCGCGACCGCCGGGTCCGCGCTCTGCGAACCGGTGGCCGTGTACACAGAGTGGGAAACAGCCCTGTGCGCTGCTTCTCTCTGCTCGTACTCCAGAACGACTTTGTGGCTCTCCTCCCAAGTCTGCGGTCCTCGCAACCCGCCATCCTTGGGGTCGCCAGGCCACAACCTTTTGTCGTTCCGGATCTCCTTTTGGAGATAAGGGGGCATCTTGCGGAGGTATGAGAGATACAACTCTCGAGGGGTCTTCCCGAGACCTACTGCCTCAAGGTCCGCGATCGAGGCCTCAAACAAAGGCTCGAATTGGTGGCCTGTGAGCTTACCCTTAGCGAGAGAGGCGTGCTCACCATCCACGCGGACTTCTCTTTCCTCCCGCGATTCCCCGAACATCAAGTGTTTGTTCTTGATGCGGTCATACACCGCCTGTGGATCTGAGAGAACCTCTCCCGATTTCCACGCTGCGCGGTACGCGTTCGTGTACGTCTTCATGCGCGAGCCGCGGCAGCGCCCGCGTAGCGCTAACAGCTTTTCGCGCGCACTCATACCGCGACAGTTGTTGGCCAGCGCGCAGACGTCCTCGAACTCCTCGTAGAACAGGACAACGTCTCGCGCGTCCGACTTGTCGTCGGTCAGCGTCGGCCACGTGAGGTCAGTTTTGACCGTAGTTATGGAGCTTTGCCCGCCCCTCTGCGCTAACGCTTCTTTCAGCGCCTCAGTTTGGGCGGCGAGTGCGGCGGCGAGATCGCCCGGGTGTTGGGACCCGGTCTGCGAACCTCCGCCGTCTGAACCTCGCTTCAGGGCTTCTATCTCCATCTCTAGCGCAGCAAGCTTCGCGCGCAAAGGGGAATCGCCGTCCGTCGCGCCCAGGACACGGGCCGCGGAAGGACCACCTGCAACCTCAGCAGTGTGCAAACCTCCACGGTCCAATCCTACCCCCAACCCACTTGCAGTCGCAGGCTGTGGGAGCCCTGGGGAACGCGGCCCCACGGCTTCAACTGGCACATCGGACGGGGAGCTCCAAACCTTCTCTTGGCTCGAGCTTTCTTTTCCCCCTAACGCGAGGATAAGCTCCCCGATGCATTGGATTTCGCGCTGAATCTCCTCTGCGTCTTCGGGGTCCTCGCCACCGCGCAAAGCCGCGACCGAGAACCTGGTCCGCAGCCGACGGACCATCTTCGTAGGATGCCAGTCCCCGCCTATCTTGGAGAACTCATCCGCAAGGAGGGTGGCTTTGGTGCTTAAGGCGTCAAGGTCACGGGAGCTCACCGTGACTCCATGCGCTTTCAGCGCGAGGACAATCCGCGAAACGCGCGTCAAGTAGTCCGCGACCGGTTCTTGGTCTGGACGGAAAATCGCGCGCAGCTCCGCCTGCAAGCCCTCTGCGGTGCCTGGCACTGAACCTGCTGTCGACGGCGGACCGGACGGTCCCGCCGGGCGGGACCCTGGTGCCGTAGCAGGGACATAGGCAGCACCGGTAGGGACCATGGCCAGCTCCCTAGCCGCGGCGCTGACGTCCACCCGCGGCGGACTGTCGCCTCCAGCGCCCGAGGCCTCAGGGACTAGCTCGGAGTCCTCTTCTTCTTCCTCTTCATCCTCGTCCTCCTCTTCGGCGTCATGGAGGAACTTCATGACTTTCCGCCAGAGAGCCGCCTCTTGCTCTGGCGTAGTGCTGACCCCATCCCGCTTGGACAATGGACGGCTGCCAGTCTCCCTACGCCACTTAAGCCAAGCGACGTAGCTCATCCGCTCGGGATAGGGAACGTCTCCACCCTCGATAGCTTCGAGGAGGGTGACGCCCTCAGCCTGACCTGCAACCTCTGCGGACATTGCCGCAACACAAGGCGAAAAGCCGCGCCTTGGTAAGCAGGCCGCAGGCGTGGCACGCGAAGCGCCGCGCCTTGGTTAACAGGCCGCAAGCGTGGCACACAGTCCACGCGTCCAGGTCACGGACCGCGACAGACAAGCAAAGCAATGCTTGCCCACTCGGGCCGTAGGCACAAGAGCTGTACGTTTCCCAGAACAGCCCCCAATTGTGAAGTCGACCAGCACTGGACTTGCACTAAGCCAATGCAATCACAGCCCAGTCACGCTGTTTTACGACTTCGTGAGTCCAAGCACTTGTGCAGCTACGCCTGAGTGCGTCCGGTCGGACCGCACAGCAACCTAGGAGCTACTGTACGACTCTACCGTGCTCAAAGGCACAAGCTCGGTACTTGAGCCAAAATATTGGCATTGATACGAATTGCAAATCTACACATGCAAAGGAAAACTACAGTACTGGTTCTGGCAGCTCTGCACATGGAACGTGCGTGCTTAGACCTGCTCACAATATGCCCTAGGCCCTAGACCCTACAAGCTGTTGTGTTCTTACTGTTTTCGGTTTAGGGGCAGTTGGGTGAGTGTTCTCACAGCCCCGGAGCACTCCTCAACCCGATTGTAGGAATCCTTGGAGACTTTGGGAATGTTTTCGGTCTCGTATAATGGGCAAATGGTTGTGCGGGCGAGCTGCCCTCAAAGTAAAAAACATGAAGCTCTTGTCCCAATTTCAGTGCTTGCTCCACGTTTCTCTTCCACCTCGGTTGGAACAATTCGCATGTTTAATGCATGCTGAACTTTTTGCTTAGCAGTCATACACCCCTGATTCGCAATATCGAAGTGCAAGTATACGAGGTAACTCTCACCCTCAGCTTGTCAAGGAGCAGCTAAAGAAACCCAGAATTCTTTATTTTGCATCCAGGCCTCTGATCCGCTAGCCTGGCAAGGTGAGAAACAATGTCAACTGTGAGGACCATGTGAAACTCGTCAATGAGCAGATGATGCTCAGGCCAAGCATCTTGGTCCAACTCATGACTGTCACAAAAAGTGCAGGCCAAAACCACGCAACCTCAGCTACGAAATTGATGGCTTGTGTCTCTGCTGACGTTCTCGTCTTCGCTCCTCCTTCCAAGCCATCCTGGTCATGCGATGTTGGTCCCCTAGGTCTTGCAGGGTCAAGTAGGGTGGAACGGACGCTCATTGTGCCCAGTTTGGCTATGACTGTCCACTATCTGTCCTTAGCTTCGCGCCAGCATTCTCCGAAGCCAAGGCGGCGGACAGGGAAATACGAATTTCTTATGGTGTACTTCAGCAGTCATGTGGAGAAGAGCCTGGCTCAGAAGCCCTGCCGTGAGTACCATAAGAAATTCGTATTTATGGTACTTCACGGCAGGGCTTCTGAGCCAGGCTCTTCTCCACGTGACTGCTGAAGTACACCATAAGAAATTCGTATTTCCCTGTCCGCCGCCTTGGCTGGGCACAATGAGCGTCCGTTTCCACCCTACTTGACCTTGCAAGACCTAGGGGGCCAACATCGCATGAGGATGGCTTGGAAGGAGGAGCGAAGACGAGAACGTCAGCAGAGACACAAGCCATCAATTTCGTAGCTGAGGTTGCGTGGTTTTGGCCTGCACTTTTTGTGACAGTCATGAGTTGGACCAAGATGCTTGGCCTGAGCATCATCTGCTCATTGACGAGTTCCACATGGTCCTCACAGTTGACATTGTTTCTCACCTTGCAGGCTAGCGGATCAGAGGAACTAGCCCCAAAACCTCCCCAGCCAACCCAAAATATTGTCAGCGGTTAGGCAAGCGCTGCTGTCAACTTCCAAGACACTCTTCAAACCATTGGCACCCCCATGGAGCCCTTCCACCGTTCTCGCAGCAGCGAAGGCGAGCCTGCTCCAGGGCATCGGACTCCTCCTGCTCCCATTCGGTCACGTTTTGCTTGTCCTTCACTAGAAAGACCTTGCCCAGGGCCAGGGCATCTGCAGCCATGAGAGCCCGCTTCTCTTCTGTTGCGTCGGCATCTGCCATATCAAGAATGCTGAGGAATGCATGCGGCGAGAAACCGCCATAGATCTCCTGACACCAGCAGCGACCAGGGAATTCGGTTCTCTTTGCATGCTGGCCGAGACCCGACTTGCGCTGGGTCAGGAACACACACGCTAACGAACACACATTATCAGGATTTGTTGCCCAGGTCTTATCGTTGGTCGTTGCCCAGACAGCTTGATCCCATTCTTTAGAATACTTGCCAGGAAAGGAGACGATGCATCTTCCAGACCTCACGTTGATCCTGCCCGGGAAACTGATGCGCGTAGAGCCCAAGCCTGAGCCGCAAAGACGTGCAAACATGGCACCACCGAAGCAGCTGACATCGTGCTCCTCATATGGCAGTCCCCGCATGTCCAGGTAGGCAACCTCCCGTGTTTGCATCGCACCGAGACCACTGCAAGTGCGGTCTGGCCAGGCGCTCGCATCGCAGAGCTTGTTCCACGGGACCTTGCCGCGACCCACCTTGCCTCAGGCCGAACCCGTGACAGGGCAGCTGTTTCTGAAGCAGGGCATTGAAAGAGACCAAAGAGACACTGGTAAGCTGGCACGTGACTACTAACAACTCACCGGACATGCTGTCCCACAGCTGGGGCCAGGACCCTCCAAGTAGAACACGTGAAGTTTTTGTCGCAGCTTCACGGCTTCTTCAATGTTCGCCATCCAGCGCGCGAACCCAAGGCATCCTTGTGGAATTTTCCCGGCGTTGGCACTGCAGCGAAGGCGAGCTTCATTCAGGGCTTCAGATTTCTCTTTCTCCCAGTCAGTCAGGTTTTGCTTATCCTTCACTAGCAAAACTTTATGCATGGTGTCAGTAAATGCCTTGGTGATCGCCAGCTTCTCTGCCGCTGCATGTGCATCTGCCATATCAAAAACGGCGAGGTAATCTTGTGGACCAATGTTCCCATTCATATGATGGCACCAGCACAAGCCGGGCGTGTCAGGATTCTCCACATGCTCGCCCAGACCGGACATGACACATGCGCACGAGCATGCGTCTTCTGGTGCCACTAGTGAAAGTGCTCGTTGAAAGGCATCTGGTCTCGCACCTGGGAAGGAGGCTATGCAGTGATTGGCATTCAAGTTGATCTTTCCCGAAAAGCTCCAATGCTTCGAAAGGTCCATGGGTTTTGCATTGGACTGCTTTCGCTAACCGGGCGCGCAGTTTTCTAGCCTGGCGTACGTGCTCAGCAACCGATTGCGTAGTGAGGGGACGTTTGGCAGAGAAGGCATGTGATGAAGGCAAATGGAGAGCATAAGCTTGTGTGTTAACCTAGCAAATGTGGGGGAGGGGGTCCGCGCTGTGAGTTCTGATGCCAAACCGATTCCTGAAAGCTGGAGCAATCGCAACACGCTGCAATGGCTGGGTTTAGGGCCTATGGAGTAGGGTTTCAAGGTTTACGGGTTTGGGGCAGCTAAAAGCGAAGACGAAAAACAATTAGAGAAAAACATGTCCATAGAGTAAGTAAACAAAATAAAGAGTGAAAAATAACTATATATATATATTGATATATGTATATGTATATATATGCTCACCCCCCCCCCAATGGACCCACCGCGGATGGCAGCCGAGTCCTAGCCAGATCAAGGCAAAAAACAACAAAACAAGAAACTAACAAAAACCAACAAACCAAAAAAATCCAAAAAACCAAAAAAACAAAAAAAACAAAAAAACCATCTTTTCCAAAACTATGGGGCTGGGGCCTCCAAAAGATGGTTTTTTTGGTTTTCTCGAGAAAAAGATGGTTTTTTTGGTTCGAAACCATCTTTTTCTCGAGAAAAAGATGGTTTTTGAGCAGCCGCTCTTCTAAAAACCATCTTTTGCTCGAGAAAAAGATGGTTTTACCAGGACAAGACCTCCAAAAACCATCTTTTCTCGAGAAAAAGATGGTTTTACCAGGACAAGACCTCCAAAAACCATCTTTTTCTCGAGAAAAAGATGGTTTTTCCAGGACAAGATCTCCAAAAACCATCTTTTTCTCGAGAAAAAGATGGTTTTTCGAAGAGCGGCTGCTCAAAAACCATCTTTTTCTCGAGAAAAAGATGGTTTCGAACCAAAAAAACCATCTTTTTCTCGAGAAAACCAAAAAAACCATCTCTTGAAGGCCCCAGCCCCATAGTTTTGGAAAAGATGGTTTTTTTGGTTTTTTTGGTTTTCTCGAGAAAAAGATGGTTTTTTGGTTCGAAACCATCTTTTTCTCGAGAAAAAGATTGTTTTGAGCAACCATCCTTCGAAAAACCATCTTTTTCTCGAGAAAAAGATGGTTTTACCAGGAGAAGACCTCCAAAAACCATCTTTTTCTCGAGAAAAAGATGGTTTTACCAGGACAAGACCTCCGGAAACCATCTTTTTCTCGAGAAAAAGATGGTTTTTCCAGGGTAAGATCTCTAAAAACCATCTTTTTCTCGAGAAAAAGATGGTTTTTCGAAGAGCGGCTGCTCAAAAACCATCTTTTTCTCGAGAAAAAGATGGTTTCGAACCAAAAAAACCATCTTTTTCTCGAGAAAACCAAAAAAACCATCTTTTGGAGGCCCCAGCCCCATAGTTTTGGAAAAGATGGTTTTTTTGGTTTTTTTTGTTTTTTTGGTTTTTTTGGTTTTCTCGAGAAAAAGATGGTTAAGTTTTAGGGGTTTAAGCCTCATGCACTACAGGGTTATAAGGTTCTAATCCTATAGGTATTGCCTTAACCTTTAACCCTAAACCTTTAACTTTAAACCCTGCAGGGTTAACCCCGTGAGAAATTTAGAGATAGACCCCGAAAAGACCCTAAACCTTCTTACAGGGTGTAATGGTTTAAAAACCGATAGGACATGTATACCTTCAGCGCCTGCAGGGTTCAAGCCTTTGAACGTGCTAGACCCCTATAGGGTGCTAAGGTTCTGACCCTAAAGGGTTTAGGATTAAGGCTTAAATGCCCTCTAGGTTTAAATGCCTAAGTCTTAAACCCCAAACCTTTAAACCTTCATCCTATGGGGTTTGAAGGTCAAGGGTTTAGGCTTGATTGCCGAGGGCTTTAGGGTCCTTAAACCCTTAAGGTTTAAACTCTATGGGCTTAGGGGGCTTAGGTTTTTTTAAACCCTAAGCCTTTAAACCTTCACACTACAGAGTTTAGAGGTGTTAAGGGTGACAAATTGATTACATACTTAGCTTTAAATGCCTGGATCTTAAACCCCAAACCTTTAAACCTTAACCCTATAGGGTTTAAAGGTTAAGGGCTTAGTGTTAATCGCTGTCTTAGGTTTAAATGTCTGAATCTTAAACCCTAAAACTTTAAACCTTCACCCTATAGGGTTTAAAGGTTAAGGGTTTAGGTTGAATCGTCAGCTTGGATTTAAATGTCTAAGTAAAGAATCCTAAACCTTTAAATCTCATCCCTATGGGTTTAAGGTTAGAGAGCGGCCTGTCATGGGGCCTGCGTTTTCCATGGTGCATGTTTTGCGAATGTTGCGTGCACCCAGCATAAACGTCGCGATTTTTCGTCGAAGCAACCCATGTCGACGATGTTATTGTGAGCAAAGCTTTTGGTTGAAGCCTGCTACACATGCTAAGTGGGATATGTTTCGTGAACCGAAGTGTTGGATGAACAGGAGTCCACATGCCAGAAGAGCGGGGGGGGGGGGAAACATTTGTCGGACCCAGATCCTAAACCTTAGTCGTTTACGGTTTGGGCCAAAAAATATTTGTTGGACCCTACTCCTAAACCTTATTCGTTTAAGGTTTCGGCCGTATATTTTACTCGCTGAACCTCATGCCTGAAGCTTTTTTGCTTCATACACAAGCCAAACCCTATTCCTAAACCTTATTCGTCCAAGATTTAGGGCCAAAAACCTTATTCGTCTAAGATTGACTGAATAAAATCAAAGTCTAGACGAAAAAAACAATGCGTGAGCCGTCTCCTTAAGCAATGCCCACAAAGTTCAGGACTTGCCTCCTGTGGAATGCAAAGAGCATGGAGAATAACTGCCCACTTTGAGTATGTACATACGGTGTATGTATTGTATGCAAAAGGTAGAAATTCTACCCACTCAAATAGAGAAAATGGAGATGCGAAGAACTCCTAGGAAGTGTTTGAGGGCATAGGGTGATGCGAAGAAATACAGTATATGCACGTCTCAGGGAAGCGAGAATACTGTGAGCAAATACCCTTTGACTATGCGCTTGCCCAACAGCCCGACTTACTCGCAAGTAATTATGTGGGTTTTCATCTCAATATATCTCAAAGGGTCTCCAAAAGAGTACCCATTTCTCAAGGATAAGACTCACACGTAAACTATCCTCAAGAATCACAAGCAAGCAACTCATAAGCCCTACTCATTCAAGGTTTAGATTTCTAAGCAACTTATTCGATTAAGACCTAGGGTCAGACGCTATTCCAATATATTTATTATGCATGCTTGTTTAAGGTTTAGGGACATACATACCTTGTTCCCAAACCTATTCCTTTAACATTTGGGGATGTTGTGCCAGACAAGTAGGTCTATTTGGTCCAGATTCCTAAACCGCGCACCTGGGCGTTGTAGGAGATGGGAGAAGGGGAGACTCTTGGGCTGATAGCTTGATTCTTGAACCCTACTTGCTGAACCCTATGCCTATGCCTGAAGCTTTTTCGTTTCATGCTTCTTGCCAAACCCTATTCCTAAACCTTATTCGTTTAAGACCTAGACCTTATCCGTTTAAGATTTATTGAATAAAATTAGTGTTCAGGGGAACGTTTCGCCGAAGCAAGCGAGTAAGAACGTTGATGCTCGATGCTTGAATCCGCGCGGAAGGGAGGGGGGGGAGGGCGGGGGGGGGGAGGGCGGGGGGGGAGGGCTCAGCTCAACACCCAAGACCCCCCCCCCCCCCCGCCACCCCCACCCCCCACCCCAACCCAACCCCGCCCAAAGATTGATATGTTTATAAACGCCCAGCCTGTTTATAAACACAGGACGTGCAACCCCGCCCAAAGATTTATATGTTTATAAACACCCAGCCTGTTTATACACACAGGACGTGCGACCCCACCCAAAGATTTATGTGTTTATAAACACCCAGCCTGTGTATAAACACCCGGCCTGTTTGTAAACACCGGGCCTGTTTGTAAACACAGGATGTGTTTACAACGCTTGGCTTCCTAATGCGTCACAAGCACACACACACACACACACCCACCACCTAGTATTCAGGGTAAACACGCAGCCGAGCCAAAACCAAGAGAAAAACAGACACGCACAGGCATCCTTTCTCAAACCTAAACCCCCAAACCTCGTAGTGAGGGAAGAGGTTTACTGGGGGATGGACGGGGGTTAGGATGCAGGGTTTGGGGCTTAGGGTCATTAAGGTTGAAAACCCACCTAAGCCGATACACCCTGCGACTCTCGGACTGTCGTTTTCAGCCGAACTTATAAGCAGTCTGACTGCTTATAAGCAGAAGGCTTGTTTATAAGCAGCTGGACCCATCGGAAGCATAGCATAAGATATATTATACAATAGTCATGTTTACATAGACCCCAAACCCAACCCAAAAGAGCAGTCGCAGGGAGTTGTCCGAGTGCGTCACCTGCAGCGGAAACCAAAAAACCAAAAAAACCAAAAGAACCAAAAAAACCAAAAAAAACAAAAAAACCAAGGATTTTCACACTAGTCCGAAGGTTTCAGAGTAGTGTGGAAATCCTTGGTTTTTTTGGTTTTTTTGGTTCTTTTGGTTTTTTTGGTTTGTTTGGCTTTGTAGAAGGCTCGGGGTGTAGGGCATAAGCCGCGTGCTGGTGCAACGACGGGTTACATGAATTCATAAGGGCCTTCCGAAGCATGCAAGCAACCCTGAAAATATGCCAAAAAAAACCCAGGCCCCATGACAGGCCCTTCTGTAAGGTTAAGGGTTCAATATGAACTGCCGGCATAGGTCTAAATACCTAAACCTTAAACTTAAACCCTAAACCTTTAAATATCTTAACCCTATAGGGTTTAAAGGTTAGAGGCTTAGCGTAAATTGCCCGAATAGGTTTAAATGCCTAAATCTTAAGCCCGAAACCTTTAAACCTTAGCCCAACAGGGTTTAAAGGTTAAGGGTTTAAAATTAGTTGCAGGCTTAATTAGGTTTAAATGCCTACATCTTATATCCTAAACCCTTAAAAATCTTAACCCT